TGTTTAATTAATTTATTAATCACTTCATTTATTTATTTATTTGTGGCGATGTGTAACAACAAATGGAAGGCGTTTGACATAGTAGTTATTCGAAGCCAAGTACGCAAAAAATCATCTGGTTTTCTAGACAATAGTCTAAAAACGATTTTTTTTTTTTTTTTTTTTTTTTTTTTTTGTATCCATTTTGCCAGGTAAAGATCTTATCAATGGTGCTATCATACCGATTATGGCCCTCAATCTATAAAATTTTTGGGTTTATTGTTATGTGGATATTGATCCCCCTCCATGATTTATGGGCCTAGTTTTGATAGAGGTGTTAAGGAAAAAGGAACAGCCATTCGCCCATAGCTATTTCACTCAGCAACATATACTGAGTTTGTCTTGATACAGATCTACTGAAATTAATTTCAATTAATTAATTAATTAATTTGCTCTTCACTCCATGCGCCCTAAATTAAATTAAAACCATTTCTCAACTCATCGCCTAATTCTTGCTTTGGTGGAACATGACATGCATAAATATTGGAAGTAGTTTAATATTACTAAAGAATGACCGATGTTTATTAATTGAATGCCTAGGAGTAACGAAATTTAAGGTTTTCTGTTTCAAAAAGTGTTTCCCCAGGCCGGGGTTGCTGATTTGTTGAGGACGGACACGAAGATGTTAATCGAAGGGAGAACAAGCTTAAAATACATATTTTATAACAATGTGCACATATATACACAATAAGTAACGATATTTGGCATCAAAACACTAGTCTTTCAATTGTATGAGGGATGCTAGCGAGGACAGTTAAATATTACAAGTGAGGATCAGGTTAATATTGCACGTAATGCAGCCATTACTTGCTATAAACGTAATTGTATTGTTTTTATAAATTATATATATATATATGCCCCCCTTTCAAAGCTCATTGATTGGTGAATAAATAAATTAGTCTTATTATTATAGCCTCATATATCGATAACATTAAGGCTCCATGAAGTATATACTCGGGCGCTTACAACATCGGAACAATGACCGACGATGCCGAGTGCGTGATCTTAAGAGTATGAGGTTAAATTAATTCAAGTCAATGGGAGTTTTATGGAACCCAATCTTAACGTGTGCATAATTATATTTATATTGCTCTAAACTCTGTGGTTGAAGGGGTGTGCTTAAATTTAGATTCTACTAAATACAATAAAACCAATTGTAATGATTAGCTTATTCTTTGCCTTTTCCCACTGATTTTAACAGAATGATCGATTAACTGAACATTTAGTATTTTCTTGTGCATTTTTTTAAAAATGTAATTGATACAACAGTGAAAACATTATACTAATAATTGATGTAGGCATACAAGATGACATACCGTTTGTGCTGTGTGTAGTAGTATTATGCATGTCCTCCTCATTGCTGGTATTGACGTTATTTTCTCTCTCCATTTTGTAATGCCTTGTTTGGCTTTGGCGACTATAGATGTTGTGGACATCTTTGTCAATATTTACAGCAACAATACTCCTACAAGTAAGAGCCTCGGCTAACGTCCATACGCTCCTTACAGCCCTTCGGCGCGAAGTCAAAAACTCTAGCATGTTGAAGTACACTAACGGTACAATTAGTGCAAACAATCAGAAAAACCTCGTCTTTGTACACCACAGTCTTTTGACAATGTCATTGTGCAATATTCTAAATTTTCTTAAAAATTCACAGCAAACCCTAAACGTGCAACATTTGGAAATGGTGTGAGAATGGAATGTACAAATGCTTGCGCATATATTGCGCGCGCATCCTTCCACGTGGGGCGCTGTGATAAATGGATTTATAACGTATTCACTACATAAATCCGATTATCTACTTTCGTTGACAAAAAAGCGCCGGAATTCGGAATGTACAGTGGTCGGAATATACAGTTTTTATTATACATAAATTATAAAGAAATTTTTGGGAATAAAATATGAGGTCGGAAAGTCCAGTGTGCCGGATTACACAGTTGTCGGATTGGACAGTGGGCACTGTAGTTTGCAAGTCAAGTTCTGGTATTGAAATTGAAATGAAAATTTTTTTAAAAAAATTGTGAACAATTTCACAATATATGTTCGTAATATACATGTACGTTATCGAATCTTACTTAAATCAAAATTGAGATCAGATTTGAGTGTTGCTGAAGTAAGATATATTTATTCTCTTTCTGTGAGTCCCTCAAACACGTTTTTCAATAATAGCAAATCTGCAATTTTGATTTTTAATGTTGAATTAAATATTAAATGTACCTAGATAACCTCAATTAAATATGATAGTTAAATTAGAAATTAGCCAGGCTTAAATTGTCAGTTAATTTTCGTATCCCATACGCCCCCCCCCCCCCCCCCCGAAAAAAATGACTCTAGAATGGGATTTTCTCTAGAGAAATTCCACACCAAATTCAATTTTCCCGGGGGGGGGGAAGAGTAGGATTTCCCCAAGAGCCAGTTTCCCCTAATGAAATATATTGGTTATACTTACGTATGATGGGGGGGGGGGTTAAATTTTGGTAAGTTTCCCTTCTTCAAAATGGCGACCATATCCATTGAAATATAGGAAGTATAAAAATTGAAAATTTTAAATCATATTTTTTCTCAGTTACCGTCTAATCAATTCTTTTGAAGCATTAAAATCGTATTCTTTTGATCAGGTCAAACTGGTTTCTGAAGGAAAAGGGTACAATTTAATCTGTTGGACAACGTTTTAATAGTATCCATGGAAACAAAAAAGATTTAAACGGATTTTTTACTACTATTGTATTTCAAACTACATGCACAAAATATTGCTGTGTAAGTGTTTATCCAAGATTCTGGTGATTAAATATCCAAAAATAGGGCATCTAGTTGCCCGGAACTAAAAAAGGGTCATTTATTTAAAAAAATGAAATCTTGCATGACTTAAGGAGAGCATTTGCTCTCTGCTTTCAAATTCAATATCACAACGCTGGCTTGCAAAATCAGTGCTTCTTGTTTTGTTTTGTTTCTGGTTTTGCTTTTTTAAAATTTTTTCCCCTTTGAAGAACTACTCGATTCAAATACTCATAAAATAGTATGCGGAACCTAACAAAAACATAGATTTTAGAATTCTCTGACACACTTTTTTTGTAAAAAGAAGCGTTCCATAGATGAAATAATGGGTCCTTAAATGGCAAACAAATCATCAATTCACTCAAAGTGATCTTATATACATTTTGAAATTCTGAACAAATAGGTACCGCCGCACTAAGAGAGAGTGTTGAGACATCGAGTCACGATTTTTTGAGTGACTAATTTTTCAGTTTCCTATGACTTAAAATTTTGGGTTGAGACACGATCTTTTGAAATATATATTTTAAGACTTCATGCTAAATTCGACAATTCTTGAATCGAAAACACTCATATTTCCATTAAAAGATCATTGACTTTCATATAAACTTTAGGACAAAATAATGTTTATATGATTTAAGCATTGATAAAAGAGGGAAAATTCTACTCTGACAAAGAGAAGGGAATTTGGCTCTGGTGTGAGATTTCCTCTCGGGAAAATTCTACTCTAGAGTACAGATACCGGAGGAAAAGCTGGCTACGGGAGATATCCTACTCTTCAACATCGGCTTAACACGCTGTTAATTTAGACTTCGCGTTAATATAAAGTTTACCTTTAGATATATTTAACCAATGTTCGTGCAACCGGATCCTGGGTTTTTTACAGATGGTATTTTTATAAGCATGAATATTCATATTTACAGGAAAACTCATTATAAAAAAAATCAGTTATAAGAAAAAACTGGGTTCTTATGATTTTTAATGATTCCCCAGACTCCTTTTCACTACGTTATACGGATATAATAAATCTCGGTCATAAAGAAGTAAAATTCAAGGTCCCAGTGACATTATTTTACTGTAATTTTTATTATCAAACTTCAACGAAGTTCAGGGAGGGGGGGGCGGCTTTGCAATACCCTCGGCGTCGACGTAGGCGTCCACGTCTTTGTCGATGTCCCAGGTTTTGGAGCAGATTTCTTTTCAAGTACTTCTTTGCCCTATGTTAATCAGAGATGCATGGACGATGCTTGAAGTATATTTCATTGTACCAGTAAAGTTTCTGATGCTCCTATTTCAGCTATAGAATAACCAGATTAATGTTTTTGAGTAGGTTAAAGTTTTTGGAGCAAGTCTCATTCCCAAGTAACTATAAGCCCTATATTTACTTGCTTGGATTACCAGGCTTGCTTCGGAAGCTGAATCTGATCTACAATTTTCCGGTTGAGTGACCAGGCTAAAGTTTTTGGAGCAGGTTCATTACAGGCCCGTAGGAAGCAATTTCAGTTTGGGGGGGGGGGGGGGGCACAGCCATACATTTTCAGTCAGGGGCACCATCAACTACCAAAAATTACTTGAGAAGCAAAAAAAAAAAAAAAAAAAAAAAAAAAAAGATCAGCATACGTTTTTATTGAGGGGGCACAAGCTAGTAGTAGCTAAATTTTCTATAGTCATTTATATATCGGCAAAATTATTGGGGGGGCGGGCACGCCCCCCCCCCCCGTGCCCCCCCCCCCCGGTTCCTACGGCCATGCATTACCAAGATATTAGAAGGGCTATCTGAACCAAACTTGCATGGATGATGCATCAAGGGATGAACTCTACCAGAGTTGCATCAGATGCTGTATTTGACCTACATTTTCCAGAAAAGCAACTTTAAGACCTACCTAGACCAGACCTTCATGGATGATGCATCAAGGCATGAACACTCTCAAACTCCCTATAGATGCTGGATATGACTTAATTTTCTGGATAATGAGTAGTTTAAAGTTAGAACAAGTCCATTTCCTATAACTGCAAGTCCCATCAGACTTAAATTGATTAATGTTGCATCAGGGATGCACACTACTTCGTTTTTAGTTTAGTGTGGGACTTTGCCTTATTTAAAGATAACATTCGTTGAGGTAAGCTCTGTAATCTCTGATTACCTTTGTTGTTTTTATAATACTTCCTATTTCTTTATCTTCAGGGCTATGAATGCAGTACTTGTAGTCTTATGTTTTCCTTCTGTCTTTGGAATAAGGAGTGCCAGGGAAATAAAAGCTGACGATTCTACTCATAAGCTTAAAGAGTTTTCAAATGGTAAGCTGTAGTATAATACAGAACGCATATTTCCAATGTCAATGTGGGTCTTTTACTTAAGGATAATATAAAATCCTGATTCACACTTCGATAAAAATTCTCTTCCTTTATGCATTACAATTGGATTGTAATGCCCTGCTTATACAAATGTGCATTATGTTTTACTTTAATACTCCTATGAACAGGGCATACAGTTTAGCGTCACAAAAACACTCAGCAGTCGATGTCATACATAAACTAAATATTTAATTATCAACGTAACTTATTTTATTCTATGGGATGATAGTATTTCATCATCTTATTTAATTTCTGTACATCCCACAAACACTCAGATTTACAGCAGAGTAAAACTGACAATATGCTAATTGTTTTATTTTAATCAGACATAATTAACTTCGATGAGAATTTTGAGAATCCATTCTCACTTCCGGAAGTTCCAGTTGGGTGGGACGGAAAAGATTACAAATTGAACTTTCGTGGAAATACACTGGGGTTTAAACTTCGAAGGGCTCCTATACCTAAAGCTGGATTTCCTTGGCCAAAGCCACAGAGATATTTCTCCGACTCCAATAAACTTTATCGGCTACAGAAGGGGAAACTCGATATCAAGATACCTTCATCAAGCTGTAACACATTGCATGAAGCCATCAGTCGTTATAAGAAGTATATATTTACATGTACAAATGATAGATTCCGAAATAACCTACGAAATATATTTGACAGGGATCTAAGAAAGAAATTGCTTCGTTCTACAGAGAATTCATTCAGTTTGAAGATGATAACCTCATTTGTGTTTGATATAAAGCAGTGTACCTACTTACCCTCTCTTTCTGCAGATGAATCATGTGAGTATAATGTATTTTAAAGAAGCATCTTTTATCATTTTTGTTTTAACAGGGGTTGAAAGAATTAGGGACAATAAATTCCATTTTTTTACTGGTTTGTTTGATTGTTTGTTTTTCTTTTTTGTTTTTGGTTAAAATACAAGCTAAATTTTGTATCAAATAGTTGCTAAAAGTATATATTATATATTATCAATCATTCAGGGAAGAACGGTATATGCTGAAACCGTGGTCATACAAATCGACTGTTTTTTCATATGTTTTGTTCTTTTATATAAAATATATGCAATTTTTACAGACTTTTTATATCTATATACTCGATTAAATGAATTTCAATCCCATTCAAGGCAATTGGATGGTATATGCGTATTCCATTCAGATAAACAGAGGCTAATAAGAAATATATATTGTATGTAAATTTGGATTTAAGATGTAGTATCACATTTCAGTTCAACTGGAATCGATCCATTTCTATCAATAATAATAAACCTGTATTGCTTTTCAGAATGAAAAAAACCCTCTTAGAACAAAGATTGTCTATTTCTGACATTAATTATCAAAACATTGGATCTATTATAGCTATTCTGTAGAATATAAATATTTCAAGTCAAATTACTAGTAGTTAAACGACTTCATTTCATACATTCACGTTACTGTATATCACAGTATCGATCATGAAACTTCAGCTCATGAATTAACTACGAGTAACTGGAGACACGGAATATTACCAAGTCAGAAAATATCAATGAAATATATGGAGATAACGAACAGTATTCAACATCAAAGTCCATTAAAACAATACAAATCGGGAACAGAGCAAACACGGACCTCCAAAAAATATAATGTAATAACATGTTTTACTTAAAAATACGTCAGAAAATATCAATATAATGTAATAAAATGTCTTACTTAAAAACACGGAAGTTCACAAGATAAAAATTATCACCGTTTGGCATTTTAGTACAGTTCTGTAGATTTTGAATATATACCGTTTTGCAAAGCCTCAGACGTTGAAAAATTGTTTCCATCGCCTAAAACATAAACGATCTCCAGAATTTAATTATTAATAATTGTTTTATTTTCAAAGTGATTTCAATCTTTTGAATGTTTTGAATACTAGTATGGATTAGAAAAGAATTAAATATTTGCAGCTTACAACCGATCTCTTAAATTTCACACATATTTTAAATATTTATGACTTATGTTTATGATAGGACCACATCTCCCTTCTGTTTTTTTTTTTTTTTTTTTTTTTTTTTTTTTGGTCTGTCTGTCACAATTAAATCTTGGATTGTGTGTTGTATTGCAATATCTTTCTTCTGACTCTTTGCCTGTTAATGTTTTCTTTCAAATGACTGTTCAATGTTTGTCTGCTATCGCTATGATCATAAAGATACACGATTCTGTTTATTATTTTTTTTACTATTATTTAAACAATGTAAATCATATACGGTACCAATTTTGATGCACCAGATGCGCATTTCGACAAATTTTGTCTTTTCAGTGATGCTCATGCCGAAACGTTGGAAACCCGATATATTAAAATAAAAACTGTTTTATTAAAAAGAGAATAATCACTTAATTGAAAAAAAAATTACTCTCCATTTTACTTTTTACTTTTTATTTTTTTTTTTCAAGAAAACGTTCACTATTTATTTATTGACAAAACCACATGTGGCGCAAGTCATACATACATTAAATTACAAATAAAGTCACATAGTTTTTCTTATGTTAAATGCAACATGTATGATCATGAAGTTAAAAATATTTCTTGTTGATTTAACATCTGCTGGATTGAGAATTTAATAAGATATACAGGTATTGTCAAAAAGTGAACAATATTTACTTAGCAGTTGGTTATAAAGAGGACATACAAATAAAAAAAAATGTTCATCTTCAAAAAGATTATGACAGTTAATACAATATCTTTCATCCCTTGGATTACAATATCTTCCAACCTCTATCTGTCATTTGTGGGCACTTATTTTTAATTGAGGCAAAAAAAAAAAAAAAAAAAAAAAAAGGACGAGGCTTTTAGGAAATGGAAAAATGTAAATACGATTGAACTTCCAGTTTGTTTGGATTTTGTGAACTTATTGATTGGCCGTAGAAAAACAATTTTCCATTACCTTTTTTGAGTTCTTCTGCTTTGAGACAATTTTCTGTAATCTGTAATCTGTAATAATGCGTATCTATACAATAATTTATATATTCTGAAAATAACGGGAAGAGCACCAAACTTTACTCCATCTGCTAAATTAGAAGATTTATTATGAACCCATAAAATGTCTTTTGAGATCAAATATTGATTTTTTTTAATGAAGTTTTGTCGGAGTTGTCTGTCATTTGTTTAAAATCACTTATCCAAAGAACGAGTGCACTTATGGGCCCCGGTAAAATGTGAAAAAATGAAGAATCAAATTAAGCATAATTTTTCATCTCAGATCATTAATTGATATCTAAACCATAAGATTCAACAAATTTTATCGGTGAAATTCATGACTATACAAAGAGCAAAGCCATACAATGTGGTAGGGGTCAGCCGACATTCATGATTTTCTATAGTAAATCGAGGACGGTCATTCATTTCAAAGCTTTTGTTTACTGTCAGCCTAACGTTGTACAAACTTGTGCGAATGACAAAAAACGCATTATACATTTATAAAACTTGTGTGAAAGTAGGAAATTTGTTCTAGATTAGGCTTGTACTTAAAATATTAAAAATGTATGAAAAGTTCAATGTTTTTCCTATAGCAAGCAAGAGCTGTTTACCTGTATGACCTTTGTTGAACCCACCCGTGGAATAAATTATTTAAAATACCGGTAGTCACGTGAGTTCTACTCAGGTAAATATTCCTCAAAGGTGCTCACTGTAAAAGATAGCCACGTTTTGTATCATTATGTCGAAGTTGTGCCGCTGTCGCATAATATTTGGTCCGCCTCGTTTAAAGGTCCGGGGGGACCTAATACGATAACATATAAGGTCCGCCTTTTATAAGAAAAGGTCCGGCCCGTATAAGAAAAGGTCCACCTAAGTTTAAAGGTCCGGGTGGTGCAAAATGTTTTAATCTTGACTTAAACACATAAAATTAAAGAGAGTTTGTTTACATCATATGAAGAAAGATTAAGGATTTACCCTAGCTGTTGTGTTTATTTTTTTGTACAACATATCTCTTAGGGCAGGAATTGCTACCGGGGTACTCCATGTTTAGTGTGCTTTTAGCAATACCGTTTAGGGCAATGATTTAAAAAAAAATGTCGCATTTATTGGGCTTGTGTTTGTTTTCCCCCAGCATTTGCTTTGTGTAAATTAGGACGATTAAAGGTGTGAAATCTGCCGGTGTGTATAGGCAATAAAACAATGGGGGTGTGAAGTATTCGTATACCTGACAGGTACCCGCAGGTAGAGCCCGCGGCAGAGAGCAATGACAATGTAATGGTCATGTGTTTGCTTTAAATCAATAGATATGAATTCTCTATTTTAATACATTATGCTGAAGAACAAATTATAATACTATTATGATATTCATGCGTACACATCAAAAATGTGATATAATTATTTAATTATATATAGTCTATTTTTATTACAATATTTAAAGAAATTTCTTATTCCAAGTGTAGAGTTTAATACTAAGACCGATAAAAAATAAAAGTATGTATATGTTTCCCTTTAGTTTTTACAATTAACTTGTTTTCAGTTTATAATAATATTTTGCCCTTTATTTGTGGATAGGGTGATATATAGCCTAATGTTGTATTCGATCTGTATTTACTGCAGAAACAAAATACATGTAATGTTCAAGCTTAAAACCTGTAATTCAATATTGAAAACATATACATCAGATTTAAAGTATAATCATGGTTTGGATTTAATTCTTTCTTATAAAAATATCACTCTTCCTCGTCATAATGAACTACATATGAAATAATATTTCATTTTTGTATTTTTTTGTATTTTTTTTTTTTTTTTTTTTTTTGCCAAAAGAAAAAGAAAGAAAAAGAAATTACACATTTTACTGTGACTATAATAGACAGACTGTGGGATAATCCAGCATGCTGTATTGCATGACCGATTAAAATTTGAAATCATTATTGTAAAATATTTTCTTTTTTTACCAACATGAAGCATTTTGGGCAAAGTTGAATGTCCAGTTCTATATACAAGTCATTTATGTATCTCACGTCTGTATGAACGGGGGAAGGGGGAGGGAACATCAGTTGATCCTCTTCCTTTTTTTTTTGCGTATCAAGGAATTTCTATTTTCTACATTAATTTGTGCTATAACCCCCCCCCCCCCCCAAATGCACCCAGAAATATACTGACTGATTGTTTCTGGGGACGTTGTCAAGCGTGCGTCATATTTCCCATTTCAAGCTACATGATATGTACATTTTCGTGATATCGACTAGAAGCGTTTCAGTCTAATTTTAAATCAAAAATATATTTCTTTTATAAAACGCTGATTATTTATGATTATTTATTTTATTCATTTATGGAAAGTGGCAACTCACGGTTATCCGGAGAGAAAAGGTAATTCATGGGGTTTTCCATCATGAGAGTCAAAGCTGCAGACAGCTCAGTATTACGTTACGCTACAACTCCATACCAAGTAGTCCCGGAGAATTAAATATTGACACTGTATGGAGTATGACTGAGAGTCATACTCCATACTCTCCGGGACTTCTTTCCCTACGAATAATGATATGGAGTAATACTGTGCTGTCTGGAGCTTGATTGAGAGTGATCTCCCGTGTAGAATTTTCTACGCGGTGAAAACCAATAAAGTGTATTGTTTAGTACCACTACACCTGCTCAAGAGTTTTTGAAAAATTCTTTGCGAAAGCTGGGAACTTTGCCAATCTCCTTAAATTATCCTTTTCGAAGTCCTTAGTCATTCTCCGTGGTAACCATGGAGGAAATAATACAATCGGTCTCATGTAGTCATGACAGAATATTTGAAGTTCGATTTTCATAAATGCTATACATTGCACATATGTTGTTT